CGGCCAAAGCTCCGGCCAAGTCTCAAGCGCCTACGCTCGCGCCGCGACGGCAGCGTCCCAAAGCGACCAACCTCACCAACCATCGAGGCAACGCGTCCTACTTCTCCCCTCCCTCGTCCTCCTCGTCACCGTCGTCTTCGCCGCCTATCACGATGCTGGTGCCCTCCGAGGACACCGTCTCGTTCACCAGCACCACCAGCGACAGCGACGCCGACGGACGTCAGACATCCACCGGCCGCCATCGGAGAAGCGACGACGGCGACACCATGGCGCGGGACAGCGCCACCTGAGCCCGTTGCTTCCGTGGACAGCTAGAAGAGACAGAAATTCTGCATTGGCAAGGCATTCCAGGGGGTGTAGCACGAGGACTGGCCCGCGTAGTAGCGAGAGGCGTTCTCTAATGGTCGGCCGACCGCAGGAAGAGGAGCAGGAAGAGAGGAGCTTTGAACTACGGCCAAATCACGCTTTTCGTGGTATGTGCCACCGGAGATAGGACACGTGTGCGCGAACTGGTCGGATCCTAACCTCTAGTCCGCCTACCGGATAGTTAGAGGGCTTCGAGGCTGGTGTTCAGCGAGATAGCGGTCTGGCCTCGTGTATCGTCGGTGAAACGTAGCGGAGAGTTAGGTGTGTGCCAAATACGAGGCTGCCAACGACGACACCACCGCCATCGAACGCGATGGACTCGAAGACGCGTACGGCGATGGGTCACGCATAACGGGTCAGTCGTGAACGGCCGCTTGAATCGAGAAACTGAGCCCCGCACGCGCGTTCCATGCTTTCGCGACCACTTTCTTCGCGTATGTACTTTCCATCGTCGAACTAAAGGTAGCGCACAATATTTGGGCCTTATAAAATTATGAAATTTTTGCCGTGGACGCCGTCGGCCGGGAGCAGCAGAACCCCGTGATCCGTGAACCCCTGTTCCATGAACGGCGGACCACGAGACGATATAAATAGAGTAATTAAGGAATTGAATATCCGACGGGAAGGAAAATCGTTATACATACGAGAGCTCCGTACTATATATATAATATAACTTATTACTATACACGCAAATATATATATGTATATTGTATATGTATATATATATATGATGTATATTGGATACGGATCACGCGTGAAATATTGACGAGTCATTTATTCAGACGATCTTTATTATTATATTATATTAAAAGAGTATCGTGGATGATCATATCTCGGTATAGGTAAACGCGCGATGTAAGACCGGGTGGCCATTACACGGACATGCAACATTGTAGCCCTGCGAAGGAAAATGATTAAACGTAATTAGTGTACGCTTTGGAAAATCGTAACGTTTAAGGATCGTTATTTAGGATAACGCGGTTAAATTATTCTTGGGGACACTTTCGGGAGAGAGTTATTTAGTCAGGATTAAGGTAGGGAAGTTACAAACGGTTCAGTTTCTCCGGGTCCGAACGCTGACCGCTTTATGCCTGATCCACTATCGAGTCATCTGACGCGCAACCTGTGCCTCCGAGGACAACGAGGCCTTTCATTGGCCCTCGGATCCTTTTTGCCATCGATCAATTTCGGACTTACCGTCAAATTTATTTATTTATACAAAAATTAAGTGGAAAATTCGAAATTTTATATAAACGTAAATATTCTCTTTGTAAATCAAGTTTAATTCAACATTCGTTTGCAAGGTTAATCTGAGAGAAGTTGTAATTTACTAGGGCTTTGCAAAATTTTTATCGACAATTTTGAGAGAGACAAAAAATGATAGCGTCCGAATTTTGATCGAAGCAATCAGGTCTCCTGTTCAATTATTAGTTGTACACCGGACGATGAACGTGCCGGCTCGCTCGAAAGATTCTTTATCTCGCTCAACCCAATGCGACCACTACGACTACATTCCTCCTTGATTAACAATAAGTAGGCACTACAAATGAGAGAAACATAAATATAAATATATATACATATATAGATATATATATGTATAAAAGAGACGTTCGAATCAGTAAGAAGCAGAAATAAGTATATAATAAATGAATGAATGAATATATAAAGCATATGCACACGAAAAAAAGATATATACATGTATGTATACATATATATATATATATGAAAAACGGTGAAGCACACGAACGAACTTCAAAGAGAAGCATGCAAGGGACTTGTATAATGTGCATTCGTAATCGTTTGTTCAATGTGCAATAACTAAACGGTAACGGCTTAATTTGTAAAGGAAACTCCTATTAATCGCGCGGAAAGTGCTGCTTCCGATGGTGGGTTTAAAGGAAGCTTGAATCTCGTGGCTGGCGCTTTTATTCAACTATTTTTCGTTTAATTAAATTTTTACAAAAGGAAAGAATTTTGGGCTGCTTACATTTTGACGTTCGTAAAATCTCTGCTTGAAATTTTTCGCATTTACGTTAACAACACTTCAGCTTATCAATTCAAGGTTTAAATTTCACAAGCAACGAAAAGCAGCCACGTGATCCAAGTGTTCACACGCGTACGAAGTGGCGACGATTTGTTCAAATTCTTTGTACACTCAAAGACTTCACTCGGTTAATGAAAAGTGTAGAACAAGAACATGTATGAAGATGGCAGAAATCAGGAGCTCAAGGGAGCACATTCGGTAGCAAAATTACTTGAAAACAGTAGATCAAAAGTTACAGAGACATCAAAAAACTTAAAAAGTGCGTCTGCCCTAACTACGCTAATCTTTGATCAACGGAAGTCTCTGTCTGTACCTCGTCAAGATTTCCGAATCTTCCCAAAGAGACTTTCAGAATGTATATTCTTCGACAGGAAGAAGAGTTCCTCAAACGAGAAAGATTCACTTCGTACGTCTGTAAAGTAGTGATGGGTTTAAGTGACCGTAGAAGCGTTCGCGCTTTGCGTGCACGGTCCATCGCTGTACTACGTATTTACATATACATGTTGTGTATAAAGGAAGCGTGTGCATCGGCCTGAGATCGTAAATTAATTACCATTGATCGCCATTGATCGTGTTGCTATGATTGTATATAGGAACGTGTAACGTGTTATATAGTGACAACCTATTAACAGGGCGTATTATACATACATACATACACATATTATACAACCGAGACTATTCGCCGTGCGATTTTGATTACGAATTAAACACCGACAACCACGTGTAACATCGACGAACGACGGGCAAGGAGAATTTCAGGTTAGGCCAACTCCCTCTCCTTTCGGCGCGTTTATAAACTAGCAATTAAACGATAAATAAATAGAATCGTATTACCTATTGTATTATCGATATCGTGTTAAGCATTTACGACTAATCTCGAGGGGAGGCGTTTGGCACAAAGAAAACGAGAAACGTCGATGATTAGACATACTAATTAAAAATGTACATTAGATGTAACGGCCGCGTCTGGACGGGGAGAGGAATGTCCCGTGCCAGCTCACCGTCAGGCACTTTGATATCACGTAGGGACATTTGCAACGAAATTTCACCGAATTTTCATTGGCTAGATTTCTTTTGAATCTATCTATTTTAAATTAGGAATTTAGAAATTTTGCTCAAACTTGAATTATCGCAGATTATTTTTAGAGTCACGATTGTCTGAGAGCTGATCTGGCAGCGAGTCTGGCCATCCTTGCGTCGTTCGTCGTCCGATTAGACAAGATAGAGAAGACAGGTCTCGTAATCAGGTAGGTAGGATAGGTAGGTCGGTAGATAGGTAGAATACCTGGAAGCAGGGCGGCGATAGGCAGAGCCAATGTCGCGTATCATAGCGGATCTGTATAGTGTTCACTGGTTACTTCGTACTTTTTGAATAAGACGAAACTTTTCTTGGATATTGACCTACCCGGGGGCTGAAGGACAAAAATATCGAGAACACTCGAGGACTATGCAAAAGAAGAAAAAAAACTGTAGTTAAGAACACCGAGATCAACCCAGAAAGACTTCTTTTATAGTGTGTTACCTAATATTAATAACAGTTTTACCACGTTACTCCTGACTACCGCTAGTTAACGCCTAATTACTTATTTACCGAGGTAACTAACTAACAACGACTAAACTAGTAAGCGCTTTAAATTAAACGAGATTAACGAGGATCTAACTGCAGCCAGCCTAGTCCCTTAATCTGTGCTAACCGTAGACGTTACTACCGTTACTAATCTACTGGCACTAATGTTACCGTCATCGTCACCGTTTCGCTGCATTTCGAAAGCGATGCTCCTCCTGTAGCGACAAAGTTCCATTCGTAGTTTCGCGGCCTCCGCCATGTTGCGACGCGTCATATTACACGTTCGGGCCCAGGGACCTCCGCCATGTTGCGACGCGTCACGTTACACGATCGGGCCCGAAGGAGGAGCAACGCCATCTGTCGTCGAACAAAACGAACTCAGCGAAGTGCTGCTAGCGTTTATTGTCTTGATACACGTGCTAGTGGCTGGCGCGATCGTCACTGCCGGGACTATCATCATCTTCCTTCATTCGATCATTCCGATCAGGGTACAGGCGGCCGACACTCGTGCACGTCGAGTTTCTAATTGTTAACCACGCGCTGCTAACGTTCTACTAATTATTAACTCTATCGAGCGTTATTAATCCCCGCGGATACCACGTCGCCGATTAGCCGTTTTCGTACTTTGTGGCCGGGGCTAAGAACCGACTGGGAGGTAGACGAACGAGTGCTTGCGTCTGCGCCGCCCTTCGCATAGGTGTACCGCTACCTGGTGATGTGATGTCGGTTCAATTCTGTTGGAAAAAACGAGAAACGTGGAATCTCGCTCTTCCAGTTTATCTTATCACCCTTCGACTGCCGTACTTTAGAACTTTCGTCGCTATCTTGTCCAATTCATTAGGTACACTTTATTTAGGTTTTAAATATTGTTAGGACGTAACTAGGACTTGCATCAGGTTCTTTGAGGAATTTTCAAGGTTATTCTTTCATTTCCAAATTTTTTAATTTCGGAGTTTGAATTACAGTTTGGTAATTTTCGAACTTTTTAATTTCACGAGTCTCTTATTGTCCTGTTACATAATTTCCTAATTCAGAACTGTCTAATTCCCTGAGGCTCTTATTGTCAAGTTACTTAATTTCCTAATTCTGAACTGTCTAATTTCCTGAGGCTCTTATTGTCAAACTACTTAATTTCTTAGTTCTGAGCTCCTTAATTCCATGAGTCTCTTATTGTCCAGCTACATAATTTCCTAATTCTGTACTGTCTAATTCCCTGAGTCTTTTATTGTCAAGTTACTTGATTTCCTAATTCTGAACTGTCTAATTCCCTGAGGCTCTTATTGTCAAGCTACTTAATTTCTTAATTCTGAGCTCTTTAATTCCCTGAGTCTCTTATTGTCCAGCTACATAATTTCCTAATTCTGTACTGTCTAATTCCCTGAGTCTCTTATTGTCAAATTACTTAATTTCCTAATTCTGAACTGTCTAATTCCCTGAGGCTTTTATTGTCCACTTACATAATTCCTTAATTCTGAGTTCTTTAATTCCCTGAGTCTCTTATTGTCCAGCTACATAATTTCCTAATTCTGTACTGTCTAATTCTCTGAGTCTTTTATTGTCAAGTTACTTAGTTCCTTAATTCTGAACTGTCTAATTCCCTGAGGCTCTTATTGTCCAGTTACATAATTCCTTAATTCTGAGCTCTTTAATTCCCTGAGTTTCTTATTGTCCAGCTACATAATTTGCTAATTCCGAACTGTCTAATTCCCTGAGCCTCTTATTGTCAAATTACTTAATTCCTTAATTCTGAGTTCTTTAATTCCCTGAGTCTCTTATTGACCAGTTAAATACTTTCCTAATTCCAAATTCTCTAATTCCCCTTCTCTTACTGTCCAGTAACATAATTCCCTAACTCCTCAATTCAGAGAGTTCCACATTTATTAATCCACATTAATTAATCTAGAGAATTCGATTCACTATAAAGGTCCTAGTTACGAACACCACCGACGATATCATGTCACTATCGCGCTACTCCGCCATTTTGCCTATCCTTCCTCCATCTTCCTTCCCCGAGTGATTTCATTTCTCTCGCTCACGATTAATCCACGTAATCATGAGAAGATTCGATAACCCAAAACGATTCACCGACTGAAATAACTCCGTTAACCCTTTATAGAGTATAGTTCCTAATGATATCCATTTGTAACCCTAGCCGACTTAACCTCAACTCGACACAGACTTGATGCCTAGAATTTGGACGATCAAAACTGACCTAACTTATTCTAAAGAAACGTTGACTTCGGCCTAATCTAGTTCTAGGAGAACTTAAGTCGATTTTCCTCTCTACTTTGACCTAACCTCGAATAAACTGGATACGTCTTCGCGACAGTCCAGTTTCGTCCAACCCGGTCTAGACCTAACCTAGCGTCTGCTTATCGTTAAGTCTATAAAGGGTTAATCGATCGAGGAAGAATCGTTTTTTATTGGTCATTCAAGTATACGTCACGAATCGAGACTTGGTGCGGATTGCATAATGCCATATAGCGAGAGCGAACAAGATGGTTATCTTCGTGTTTGTTCATTTTATTCGTCAGATTTTTTTTAGCGAAAGATTCATAAAAATTCCACGGCGACGTCCATCATGTTCCCATGCTTGTTGTGCGACGAATGTTTCTATGTACGTGTACAACTTTAACTCGATAGCCTACGAATAGGTACGAATCCAGCGTTCTTGAAAGAAAAATGGTGGGGGAAACCTCGAATCGATCAGCATCGAACAGAGGCATAATTTGATCGTTAACGGGTATTGTTCTTTAGCCAGAACGTTTTGTTTCGCGTTTTCGACGTTGAGCGGTTTTGAACCGCGCGGCGTTTCCCGCCTTTCCCCCACCACCTCGGCTGGATCCGTGCTTGCCTACGAATTATTGTACGGTATCGCCGTGTTAAGAAACGTAAGGGAGTTGATTTTTTCTAGTCAGATACGATTATAAATAATTTTACGTTTAAACAGTTGGGTAAACATTTTTTACATCGCTGTGAATATGTAAGATGTTTCGCCTTTTTCTCTATTTCTGTCTGATTTTCCTTGTGTTGTTTCTTCGAGTCGAGCGCGGTTCGTCGTCGATGGACGAGCGAAATAAATTATACGCGACACCCAGCGATGACGATTATAACATACGGATTTCGATTAATATATTAATTACCAATCGATCATTATTGTAATTCTTATTATTATTCTTATTATTATTATTATTATTATTGCGATGATTATGGTTATTATTGATTACTACCATCAACGATTATTAGTTACTATCACTACAGTCATATAATACCTTTGTAAATGAGAATCAAGACACTGACGGCTAGGGAAGAAACTTAATAAATTGAAATTCTATTAACCCAAACGCGTTCAATCATTCGTTCGATTCCCTTCTCTGTAAATTCGAAAGGTTTAAATTTTCCGCGCTGGGGAATTCAAACTTCCATAATTTGTGAAGGTTTTACTGCACCTATTGTGACAATTATTGCTCAGAGACTGGATTACAAGTTTACCATTGCTTTAATTTAATTTTCCTGAAGTTATTAATACAATAAATTTTGTGGATTTGAATTTCCCGCGCTTTCTGCAGAATACAAACTTCCATAATTTGTGAAAGTCCTACTGAAACTATTGTGAAAATTATTGCTCAGAGACTGGATTACAAGTTTACAATTACTTTAATTTAATTTTTCTGAAATTATTAATACAATAAATTTTGTGGATTTGAGTTTCCCGCGCTTTTTCCAGAATTTAAGCTTCCATAATTTGTGAAAGTCTTACTGAACTTATTGTGACAATTATTGCTCGGAAACTTCATTGCAAGGTTACTATTACTTTAATTTAATTTTTCTAAAATTATTAATACAACAGATTTCATAGATTTGAAATTCGCGCGCTTTCTATGACTCCCATAGTACAAAATGGTCGTAAAACATATTAAACTTCTTTTTAAATAATTTGCGAATATTCGCACAATTTTTTTTGTAAATCTTTATCACCTGCAAATGTAGATAACTGCAAATATTAATTATAATGTGCTATCTTAATTCAAGTGCAAAACAAGCAAATATTGTACCTTGCACCATGAGACTGTACTTCTCAAACTTGCAATTCAAATGTGAATTTTTTTCCAATTTTAAAACACTAAAATTTTTAATATGCAATTTGCACAGTCAAAGTTGAGCATAAAATAAAAATGACGTTAATATTTTTTATTTACCTCATTAATGCAAAAATGAGTAGTCATAACTACAATTTATAAAATTTCAATATTTTTTTAATTCAATTTTGCCACGTTTAATTGTTTAAAACGTTCATATATCATCTCGAGAAATTTTTTAACACAATTTAATATTAATGCAGTTTTATTTATCAGATTTAAGAGAATATGTAATAACGTTTTTATCAGTTGTAATCTATGAATACGAGAACGAATCTATTAGTGCTCTGTCACTCGACTCTTATCGGCCCAGGTTATCGACTACACCTTGAACATTGTTCCCCTGCCAAAAGCTTCGAATTCGTAAATTCTATGAGGTCACGACATCCGCTCTTTTGTGACGAGCATTCGTCATCTCTTATATGTCTGACTCATACTTTGGGTCTCTGAGACAAACTCTACCATTTATAATAAAAAGTTCCATACCAAAATTAATTCTCATTCATTCTTATAATTTTGTCAATTTGGGAGATCAGGTTCTTAAAATATAAATTGTTTGAATAAAGCAATTTAATATTTTTTGTAAATAGATTTTGTAGATGCTTGACCACGAAGAGTAAGTACCCTAACCTCACTTTTAGGTTATTGAAATATCTTGTTAAGTTAATGAATGAAATCAGTTTAATATTGATATTTTCTTTTAAGTACATTAAATACATTGATAATATACATTCTCGTAAAAAATATGTTATTTATCCTGAGTCCATGTTGAATAAGGAAATAAAATATGGACGATATTTTGCTAACTACTGTAGGTCTATATATAATCTAATATCTCATTCCTAACAAAGTGTCCCACCAAATAAATTATCCATCTTCATCCAGTAGTTCACCCTTATGAGAAATTATTATATTATGAGAATTGAATACTGAAATAAAATATGGACCTCGCTAACCATGTATGTTGCTAACTGCTACAAGTGTATGTGTACCGAAATAACATGTGTGCGTGACCAAACAAATTACACATCAGCCCTTCACCCTATTAAATATTCCCCAAAGAAATAATGTAGGAACGCATTAACAGAACCTGAGCAATACACCCTCAATATTTCCAATAATGCAGGTATCCCACACATCCGCAGCATCCTACTTGCCTCCACATGTTCCAAGCATGCGCCCAGTAGGCATCTGAGAATTATCGCAGTCCTTGGTCACAGTCGACGCATAGTCAAATTGAAAAGCGTAGCGAAGATGATAACCGTCCGTGCACGTCACTGCTTATCAGTAACGTTATCGTCAAATACCGAGGTTCTGGTGGTAGGTCGTAGTTGTTAGTCGGCCTGCATCGACCGGTGCACGTGGTACTAGTACGATACCCTGTGACGAGAAGCAGCAGAACCGTCAGCTGATCGCCATGTCCGCCACCACGAATCTGGCGTTGTTGAGCAAGAAACAGGTGCAGGGTTTCTTGAATTCCTTCGACGTCGTCATGTCGGACTGCGATGGCGAGTTTTTATAGATTTCTGCCCGAACCTCTGATCAATACGATGATGGCGTGCTCTGGTTGAACAGGTGTCATTTGGTACCTGGAGAAGCCGATCTCGGGGGCGATCGACGCGCTGAGGAGCCTGCAGGACTGTGGGAAGAGGATGTTCCTTGTGACCAACAACAGCTATAGCAGCGTGGAGCATTACTGTGAGAGGTTGAGGTTGAGTGGAATGGAAGTCAAGTCGGTGAGTCCTTTGATGACTATGTGGATGTATTGAGTTACTTTATCATGTCTCTATCTATTATTCACATCTTGTGAATTACTCTAGGTAACCCTAGGATGTGGTCACTTTGCATATTACTCTATGTTTGTAATTAATGGGGGAATAAGTTCTGATGGAGGAAGTAGAACTTAGGTAGAGTCAGATAATTGCAGAGTCAGAACAATGACCTATGTACGACAATTTGTAATAATAAAGTGTTGACATGATTAGATAACTCATATGCTATGTCATTTGATTGATCACATATTTCCTTCCGAAGTCGTAAACAAATTGATCTTGAAAATATACTGCAGTCAGATAGTGAGATTAATTTTATTTTTGAACTTGAACTGTTTGACCTACCTTGCGATCTAGCTTATGACCTATCTGGTTACCTATCTTGTTATCTGCTTAGTGGCCTAACTTGTGACCTATCTTGTGACCTATCTTGTGACCTACCTTGTGACCTACCTTGTGACCTATCTTGTGACCTATCTTGTTACCTACCTTATGACCTATCTTGTTACCTACCTTGTAACCCACCTTGTGACCTATCTTGTGACCTACCTTGTGACCCACCTTGTGACCTATCTTGTGACCTACCTTATGACCTATCTTGTTACCTATCTAGTTACCTACCTTGTGACCCACCTTGTGACCAATCTTGTGACCTATCTTGCAACCTACCTTGTGACCTATCTTGTGACCTTCCTTGTGACCTAACATGTAACCTACCTTGTGACCCACCTTGTGACCTATCTTGCAACCTACCTTGTGACCTATCTTGAAACCTATCTTGTGACCTATCTTGTGACCTATCTTGCAACCTACCTTGTGACCTACCTTGTGACCTATCTTGAAACCCCTACCTTGTGACCTATCTTGAAACCTACCTTGTGACCTACCTTGTGACCTATCTTGTGACCTTCCTTGTGACCTATCTTGTGCCTTACCTAGCAATCTACCTTGCCACCTACCTTGCCATCTACCTTGCAACCTACCTTGCAACCTACCTTGTGACCAATCTCGCCTGTCTACAGGAGCAAGTAATAAACACAGCAAAGGTGATCACCTGGTACCTGAAGAAGATCGAGTTCAAAGACGAGGCGTTCGTAATCGCGTCAACGTCATTTCGAAAAACATTGACCGACGCAGGCATCAAATTATCCCCAGCAGATGTGAGAAACAGCAATCAGAATACAATTTGCAATGTCTAATTATTTATATGCACGCATATTTTCAGCTGGACGTTGCTGAAGGGGATGTGCGCGCCACAATAAAGGCGCTTGAGGACCGACCATCAATCAAGGCAATCATTATCGACTTTTGTATGTTCTGTGACTGGTCCAAATTAACGTTTGCTATATCTTGTTTGAAGAGGAATGACGTTCTTTATCTTTGCGGAGCTCAGGATCAGTGGATTGTTTATGGCCTGGATAAAAGATTTTTAGGTAAATTTACTCTGATATGAATCACGTAATTAGTTACTCAATTGTGTGGCTGGCGGTATGTAATTGTTGTGTTTGGTAGAATATTCAGGGTGATGGGGGAAATTTACTAGGAGGAGATTTTGAGTGGAGAAAGTTCTACACTTGTGGTGTTAGTTCTTAGGAAAGTGATAAGTTGAAGATCCCATATATAGTAAAGTAAGAATAGAATTACACATGTAGCAAATTTTCATATGTAGAATTTCACATATAGCAAATTCTCATATGTAGAATTCTACATGTACCAAATTCTCACACGTGGGATTCCACATATAGCAAATTCTCACATGTGGAATTCCACATATAGCAAATTCTCACACGTGGGATTCCACATATAGCAAATTCTCACACGTGGGATTCCACCTATAGCAAATTCTCACATGTGAAATTCCACATATGGCAAATTCTCACATGTGGAATTCCGCATATAGCAAATTCTCACATGTGGAATTCCACATATGGCAAATTCTCACGTGTGGAATTCCACATATAGCAAATTATCACACGTGGAATTCCACATATGGCAAATTCTCACATGTGAAATTCCACATATGGCAAATTCTCACATATTGAATTCCACATATGGCAAATTCTCACATGTGGAATTCCACATATAGCAAATTCTCACATGTGAAATTCCACATATAGCAAATTTCCACGTGTACAATTTCTCATCTACCAAATTCCACACGTTCACACATATCAAATTACCACGTCTGAAATTTCTCATACAGCAAATTCTCAAATATAGAATTCCATACATAGCAAGTTTTTCATTCATTCCACATATGTCACTCCAGCCCTACTATCCATATCCTAGTTACTTCTTAACGATTATAGCTATCCTTAAAACATTATCAGCAGTATCCTAGTTATCCTAACTAGGTCAGTTCAGAATTAGGTCAATCTTTACACGAACTTTGACTTTATAGCAACCTACAAAATATCTACATTATCCACAAAAAAATTCACATCCACAAAATTGTCCACCTCCCAACTGTCTCTTAGGACAATTTCCTGATCACCTAAAACAACCTAACACAATTGAAATTCTTTCAGGTCCAGGTCCCCTGATCGAAATAATCACCAAGCACAGCGGAAAGACCCCCATCCCCTGTGCAAAACCCAGCGAAGTACTAAAAAGCTACGTTCTAGAAAACTGCAAAGTGGGCGACCCAAAAAGATGTTTGTTCATCGGCGATACGTGAGTAAATAAAAAGAAATAATATTAAGTGTGGTTTTATTTCATTCAATATGATTTCAGGATCAATTACGACATGAAGTTCGCGACGATGTGTGGGTTCCAAAAATTGCTGGTTGATACTGGCCTCGATAACATCAAGGACGCGGAACTGAACGAGGAAACGCGTCCGGATTACTACATCCCCAGTTTGGGGTTGTTGCACCCCATTATCGATTCGCTGCGGAATGACTCTGTGAACGGAGAGAAATGAACGACACAGCCCCGCCATTTATAACTCTAAGAGTATAGCAAGGGTACAATGTAAATATGGGATCCTCCCACAGAATTCTTTAACTTCAACCTTGTAAATTTTAGAATTATGCAACAGATCTGTGAAAGAGGTACAATAACTATTTGTAAATAATTATCGGGAGAAAGGTGGTAGACAAAATGGCAGTGCGATCTATCGTGACATGTCGGAAGTTCGAGCTTCCGTATATCGCTGACAGATGACGCCAGTATTGCTCATAGTGATACAAAATATTGTTACCGTATTTGAATAATTAGTTAACCGAACTTTCTATCGTAATAGACATTTTTGACACGATGTACAATGGCCTTGTAAAATAAAGAGAAGTGACCTTGACCCGTTTTGCTTCGAAAGTAATCCACGAGCGCTTAGTAATTAGCCTGTACGTTTGAACTTCGCCAATTAGCATAAGAATCGTAATTTCGTAATTAGGTTACTGGCTGGTTTACATACGTTATTGACTAGAAATGAATTATTTAGACCGGAACGAAGTTTCTTCATTGACTTCACACGATACAGCTATACAAAACAATTATTTATAGAACGAGCTAAAAATTGCTGAATCTACTATTGAATAACAGTTCTTCAGCTATTTTCAATCTACGCACTTTGACGTAAGAGAGTGAGTTGTGGGATAGTTGACGTACACGGTGTTTTTTTCCTAGACGTTTTCAAGGGGTTTTAGGTTATTTTGAGAATAAGTAGGCTGTAGGTTAGGTGTAGGTTATACTAGGTGGGTTAGGTGTAGGTTATACTAGGTAGGTTAGGTGTAGGCTAGGTACTGGATTTGTAGATTCAAGGTTTTGTTAGATACAATGTTTATTGGGGTCATAGATTGTCTAATATATTAGGTTCATTATGGTTATTAGGTATTAGGGCTCTCCCTAGGTCCCTGACTTTACTAGGTTCTATATTCCCCCAGGACCTGCATTTTTCTTGGGTTCTAAATTCTTCTTAAACACCTAGGTTCCAAATTTAACCCTATATACCTCTAAGTCCTATGTTTACTTTGGGTTATAGGTCCTCCTTAGGCTCCCACTAGGACTCACCTTACTTCCAAGCTCTAAATTCTAACTAGGTTCCAAATTTCCCTAGGACCCACATCTTTTGTGAGATCCAACTCCTTTGTAACCTCTCATAAGACTGTAATCTTCCTAGAACTCATAAGTTCTCTCTGGTCCTATCTTTAGTGTGGGTCCCAGGTCCTACTGAAGCACCCTCTAGGTCCTAGACTCTCCCTACATTCTAAATTCCCTAGGACCTCATTTTTCTGTGAATTCTAGGTCCTTTGTAACCTCTCCCTAGGTTGCAATCTTCCTAGAAGTTATAAATTCTCTTAGGTCCCAGATTTATTGTAGGTCCTATGTCCTCCTGAAGCACTACCCAGATCCTAGACTCCTCCTACGTTCTAAATTCCCCTAGGATCTTGACTATCTTATGACCTTGAGTTCTATGTCTCTTTTAGACAGTACCTTCTGTCTCAAACATTCGCTAGGTTATAAATTTCCCTAGGTCCAAGATTTTCTCAATGGCATAGGCCTTCCTTAAGCTCCTCCTGAGTCCTCAGCCTCCTCCCAAGTCCCAGTCTCCTTAAATCCTAATCCGTTTTAATATATCTATATTGCACTTTCCCACAAATATGACCCACGATCATCATCCACAAAGACGGCTTCCAATCATGACCCACGAACGTGACCCAATATATCCCTATTTTACCTTCCCACAATCATGACCCACAAACACAACCCAATATATCCTTATTCTACCTTCTCCCAATCATGACCCACAAAAATGTCCCACAATCATGACCCACAAACACGACCCACAATCAAAACAGTACAATTTATCTCACATCTGACATCAATTCCTCCCCTCACAACCACCCCCTCATCCCCATCTACAAACCCACATCCACAAAATTTATCAAACCTATTCTGCCAGATTTGAACTCAGTCATACTGAAAATTCCACATAAATTCCCCGAAAAAAAAACAAAGAAAGCCAAAACTAGAGCATCGACCCACTCATTGCTTACATCTCGATTGCCAAATCTTCCTGGCTCGTTCTTGAACCCGGTCGTTCGATCCGGATAAAAAGTTATCGCGGAAGAGGCGGTGGCGACAGATGTGGCGTTACGCGGACGCATTGGCGTCGGTTATTCGACTCCTGGACGCCGCGCATAATCGTCGCCGGCGAAGGCCTGCGCCTGATAAACGCGCCGCCTCGAGAAGAGGGAGGCGAGCGTGCCGGAGCGTTGCATAATCGTCGAGCGGGTAACAGACGCTGTCGCGAGTCGGAAATGAAAGAGGAACACGGCTGAGACTCCTAAGCCGCGCATCGGTCAGGATCATCGTCTGGAGGTGCGCGAGGATCATGCAATCACATTCGGTAGGATTTTTATTATAGTATTTAACTTTAAATTGTTAAGGGACGTGACACTTGGGACATGTGTTAGGAGAAGTGTTAGGTTTGGGATCATAACTATTGGAATATTACTAGTTAGGGTTGGGACTGTTAGGTTTGGAACTTGTTAGGGTTGGGACTAGTTAGGTTTGGGATATGTTAGGTTTGGAACTTGTTAGGGTTGGGACTAGTTAGGTTTGGGATTTGTTAGGTTTGGAACTTGTTAGGGTTGGAGCTAGTTAGGTTTGGGATTTGTTAGGTTTGGGACTTGTTAGGTTTGGGATTTGTTAGCTTTGGGACTAGTTAGCTTTGGGATTCGTTAGGTTTGGGACTTGTTAGGTTTGGGATTTGTTAGGTTTGGGATTAGTTAGCTTTGGGACTTGTTAGCGAGACTCCTAAGCCGCGCATCGGTCAGGATCATCGTCTGGAGGTGCGCGAGGATCATGCAATCACATTCGGTAGGATTTTTATTATAGTATTTAACTTTAAATTGTTAAGGGACGTGACACTTGGGACATGTGTTAGGAGAAGTGTTAGGTTTGGGATCATAACTATTGGAATATTACTAGTTAGGGTTGGGACTGTTAGGTTTGGAACTTGTTAGGGTTGGGACTAGTTAGCTTTGGGATTCGTTAGGTTTGGGACTTGTTAGGTTTGGAACTAGTTAGGTTTGGGACTAGTTAAGTTTGGGACTAATTAGGTTTGGGATTTGTTAGGTTTGGAACTAGTTAGGTTTGGGACTAGTTAGGTTTGAACCTAGATAGGTTTGGGACTATCACTATTGGGACTAGTTAGGTTTCAGACTATCACTATTGGGACTTGTTAGGTTTGGGATTATAACTATTGAGACTACTTAGGTTTTGGATTATTACTATTGGGACTTGTTAGCTTTGAGACTGTAATTATTGAGACATTACTAGTTAGGTTTGGAACCATCATAACTAGTCAGTGTTAATTGTTAGTATAATTTTTATTATTTAACCTGTTATTCTTTCTCTGTACCACGTACCTCAGATATTAATTTTAACGATGGTAGAATTTTATTACATTTCATTATACTTTGTGCCGCTGATATCTGGATCCATCCAGACAATGTGACAATCTTTGAGCTCCCTGTTCTGACAATTTTATTTTACCTCTTTAGCAAGTGTCTCAAAACTCGTCACATTTTTAGAATACAGAAAAGTTAGCAGGTTAACGCGAACCCAGTTTGTCTACAAAATGTGAAGAATGTGGAAGTGTTTAACACAATTATATTTCCAGTGTCGTTCTCACGTTTTAGTGATCTCTTCATAATAGTTTTGTGAAACGTATTGGGTGATCTTTTGAATAATACAAAATTTTGAAGGTGAATAAAAATTTTAAAGCTGTCAATGTGTATGGGATGTGATTAGGTGTTTTAGAGTGATATAAAATTTTCAGAAAATGTTCAGCAAATTTACGTTAATGGAATTTTACAAGCTTACCTGTGTCTAAAAGTGAATTAAAAATCGGATTACAGGTAATCGCAGTACACCTTGATACTGATAAAAGTGATAACCCGAAGATATAGTGAAATTTCATCGAAACGGATTATACATCTTAAAATATTAATAACAATCCAACGTCAATAACAAAAATTTATCGAATTTGTAAGAACAGCAGCAGGAAGTTATTATTTGGAATTTATTTAAATAGACCTGAACATTTTGGGTGATTTTTAGAAGAGAATGTCAAAGCTGAACCATCACAGTGAAATATAAATAATTCAAGTTAAGCCTCTTTGCCAGAGAATTCGATTAACAGACAATGGCACAGTGCTCGATTGTGGTGTCACGTGTTCGACAGTTAAACCTCTTGAATAACCAAACCAAAATATTCCTGCTTTCACTTGGAACACTTTGAAAATTTATTCAAAAAATTATTTATAGAAATTAAAATATAAATCAAGTAAAATATTTATCTTGAGTCAACTGTGTTTCGGAGACCAAAAATTATAATCTTATCTAATCTGTCATATAAAAGACGAGATAACGGTGTAATGTAGAGAAACTTTTATTAAATGTCTGAATGTTTAAACAAGATGAAATAATAATTAATAGAAAGACAGCTTCAAAAGAATTTATCAAACTTTTTGACTAAAAAATTTCAAATTTCTACCTGCAGCAAAAATACATTCAAGTGCGAAAATACCAATGAAACCTCTTTTAATTTAATAAATAACTCACGCTAAAAATAAAAATTAAAAAAAATTCTTTCTTAATTCATTAAATTAAATAAGTTAAATAATAAGTTAATTCATTAGACTAAATAAGTTAAATAATAAGTCAATTCCTTAAACTAAATAACTCAAACAATAACTCAATTCCTCAAACTAATTAACTCAAACAATAATTCAATTCCTCAAACCAATTAACTCAAACAATAACTCATTTCCCTAAACTTGCAGGATTGGCGCTCGACAATAATCGTAACATGCAGTTTCGCCATAGTCTTCGTGGCACTAGTGTGGACCGTCCGAAGAAGCTCAGAAAAGGAAAAGAAATCAAAAAGCATCGAAAAAGAGAAGCCAGAGATCGTTAACGGAGTCGTCCATTCACCTCAACCGGATGATCCTCAACCGGAAGCCGAGGACCAGAACGATGACACCATTCCTGAATTACCTGATCCCAACTGGGTGAAGGTGGGTCAAGTTCGAGAACTGTACGTCTACCCTCTAAAATCTGGTCGAGGGAAAGAATTGAGGGAATGCAACTTCACTCGGTTTGGAATTTGCGAGGAAAGCGAAGGGAAATTCACCCTTCGAGACAGGTAATTATTTTAGTTTTATTTCTTTCACTTCAGTCGCTCAAAATTTAGTAGACACACTTGTGCTTCATTCAGATATCTTCCGATTCATTATCTCTTAATTATCACTGTGTAAACAGCTGTTTCTATAAACCATTATATACTCTTTTTAATACAATTCTTATTTGCTTTTGTTGCATTTAAAAAAGTCAACTACTTAACCTTGTACTGTGATTTATTTATCAGGTGCGTCAGTCACATCTGACCATATCAAAACAGACAAAGAAAGTTAAAATATTACGTCAATTTATTATGCAAACATTGACTTTGCAAATTATAATTGAACTCCAACTTGAAACGTATTAAAAATTCGAGTAAAATTGATCACAGTTAAGTGCGTCATCAGAGTGCGTCAGGAGTGCGTCATGAGTGCGTCATGAGTGCGTCAAAACACTGCAAGATTAATGTACTAAATTTACAATATTTTAATTTACCAATCATTAACCTAGTTATGCATTGCAATGATTTTTAGAAAACTGTAACTAAATGCAATACAAAAAAATAATTGTTATTTAATATTTGATCTGTCTTTTTGAAATGTATCCAACAAGTCTTTCACTGTCCATCAGAATGTTTCTAGTGTACAACGAAGAGACCGGACGTTTCCAAACTGGAAGGCAATTTCCGACGTTGATTTTGATCAGCCTGTCAGCGGTGGACGAGTCTAGGGTGAAACTAGAAGCGCTAGGGATGCCCAGAGTGGTGTTCCACGTGCCGGAGAGTTCGGGGGACGATGTCGAAGCCGTTCAGTGCAAAATGTGGTGGGGTGAGCCGGTGAAGTGTATCGATTGTGGCCCGGAAGCTGCTGAATGGCTATCGAGGTTTGCAGACCTTCGTTTTCATTCTAGCACTGTGGAGGATATAGTGGATAGGATGAATATAGATAGAGCAAAGTTATAGTAGTTAAAATATAATGATTATAGTAATAGATAGTATATAGTGATTATAGCATTTGATATCTTGGTTGTAGGAGATATAGCACATGGTATTTTGATTAGAGTATGATACAGAGTGTGGTAGATAGAGCTAAATTATAGTAGGTGAAGTTATAGCAATCTAGAATTATAGTAGGCAAAGTTGTAGCAGTCTAAAGTTATAGTAGATATAGTTATAGCAATGTTTGAAATGTATCCAACAAGTCTTTCACTGTCCATCAGAATGTTTCTAGTGTACAACGAAGAGACCGGACGTTTCCAAACTGGAAGGCAATTTCCGACGTTGATTTTGATCAGCCTGTCAGCGGTGGACGAGTCTAGGGTGAAACTAGAAGCGCTAGGGATGCCCAGAGTGGTGTTCCACGTGCCGGAGAGTTCGGGGGACGATGTCGAAGCCGTTCAGTGCAAAATGTGGTGGGGTGAGCCGGTGAAGTGTATCGATTGTGGCCCGGAAGCTGCTGAATGGCTATCGAGGTTTGCAGACCTTCGTTTTCATTCTAGCACTGTGGAGGATATAGTGGATAGGATGAATATAGATAGAGCAAAGTTATAGTAGTTAAAATATAATGATTATAGTAATAGATAGTATATAGTGATTATAGCATTTGATATCTTGGTTGTAGGAGATATAGCACATGGTATTTTGATTAGAGTATGATACAGAGTGTGGTAGATAGAGCTAAATTATAGTAGGTGAAGTTATAGTCATCTAGAATTATAGTAGGCAAAGTTATAGCAGTCTAATGTTATAGCAGATGAAGTTATAGCTATGTAAAGTTATAGTAGATGCAGTGATAGCAACCCAAAGTTATAGTAGATAAAGTTATAGCAGTCTAAAGTTATAGTAGGTGAAGTTATAGCAGTATAAAGTTATAGTAGGTGAAGTTATAGCAGTATAAAGTTATAATAGATGAAGTTATAGCAGTCTAAGGTTATAGTAGGCAAAGTTATAGCAATCTAAAGTTATAGTAGATGAAGTTATAGCAGTCTAGAGTTATAGTAGATGAAGTTGTCGCAATCTAAAGTTCTAGCAGATGAAGTTATAGTAATATGAAGCTATAGTGGATGAATCTACAGCAATCTAGAGCTATAGTAGATGAAGTTACAGCAATGTGAAGTTATAGTAGATGAAATTATAGCAAGCTAAGTTATAGTAGATGAAGTTATATCAATCTAAAGTTATAGTAGATGAAGTTATAGCAACCTAAAGTTATAGTAGATGTAGTTATAGTAATCTGAAGTTATAACAGATGAAATTATTGCAATCTAAAGTTATAGTAGGAGAAGTTATAGCAGTCTAAAGTTATAGTAGATGAAGTTATAGCAGTCTAAAGTTATAGTAGATGAAGTTATAACAATCTAAGGTTATAGTAAGCAAAGTTATAGCAGTCTAAAGTTATAGTAAATGAAATTATAGCAATCTCAAGTTATAGTAGATGAAGTTATAGCAATCTAGAGTTCTAGCAGATGAAGTTATAACAATGTGAAGCTATAGTAGATGAAGTTACAGCAACCTAAGTTATAGTAGATGAAGTTATAGCAATCTAAAGGTACAGATATAGCAAATATATCAAATATAACATCTGATTATAGCAAGTATAGTACAAAATATGTTGATTATAGCACGTATATGACATACAAGATACATCCCCTATACATGCTACATACCCTATCACATACCACAACAATTTTATTTATATCAACCACAATCTAGAGCACACTATATCTTATATAGCAATCCCTATAACAGAACATTCTTTTCAGATTCTTAACCGGAACCAGTTCAGGTCTCCGCCTCGGCTACACCATGATGGACAATCGCGACCTCTTCAAAGAACCCTGGAAAAAGTTTACAGAAGTGTACTCCACGCTCCGAAACGAAGACACCGTACTCTATCGTTCCCCTCCCCAAATATCAACCCCGCTATATCAAATAACAACCCCAAATTAAACAAACCTCTTCTTCCAGGGTCTCTTCTGCGACCTCGCAAGCTACATGCTAATGACCGTGCAGTCCGTCGAACACCTAAACCAGAAGCTAGAGCAACCCGTACCAGCTCTACAATTCCGTCCAAACATTTTGGTCTCCACCAAAGAGGCCTTCTCGGAAGACGACTGGGAGTGGATACGAATCGGTGATCGAGCTGTGATCAGAAACGTTAAACCCTGCACACGGTATTGCCTTCTTACGTGCTTGTGATAATCGTAGGCTTCTTTGTAGAGCTCGCTTTTCGCAAACCCTGTTAAATGTCAAGATTTCCCGCCATTTGTCTGATACAGGTGTAAATTTGTGCTTGTCAATCCTGATAGCGGAGTAGTGGACGACGAAGAGCCATTGAAGACTCTGAAAACGTACGACTCTTTATTTTTATTTTTTTTTGTGGATATTTCAGAGGTCTTGTTAGAGTGTAGCACGAGTACGTTATTTTTTTTAATTGCAAGCTTTCGCTGAAGCTTCAGCTCTTGTTAGGTGGATTTTGTTGCTGTTCCTAATCTTTCGCTGTTTGATCAGATTTAGACAACACACGGACCCAGACCGAATTTCGTTAGAAGGAACAGCTCCGGTCATGGGCATCTACTGCGGACTCTACGTCCCTGGAAAAGTGAACATCGACGACGACGTCTTCGTCCACATTCCTGAATCTTCCACGAACCGTGAGACAAAATAAGTAACTTCCAATGGCCTTCTCTGAAAGTGTTTTGCAAATAGTATTTTATAAACAATTCCGAAAACCGACAATATTATACAAGCAACGATTTTTACTATGAATTGTGATTACTACGAACCTTGTTACTAAAGAAAGCTTTGTACACCGGGTGTCCAAAAGTTCCATTGTTTAACGACACCCTATAGATGTTAAAAAATCGTTGAATAAACTTTGTTATAGAATTATTCGTTCGCTTTCACTGTCCTGTCCTGATTAGCGAATGAGGTCTGTAGAGTAACTGATGCGGTAATTGCAACTCACTGGTCAGAAGCTTGATAAGATATGCAGAAATGGTTGAGGAGGGGACACGTTATACGATCACTCGTCTCATTCAGTTCGTTCATTCTTCGAACGCCTTACGTTCATCCACGATGCGACTCCATTCATTGTTACCTATATTCGCTGTGCTTTGGGTCGTTGACTTGTCGTCCCAGGATGGTAAGCTAAAATATTATTTCAAATAAGATATTGGTATTCTTCTGGAGCGTTGATTTGTAGTTTTGAGATTCTTTTTTTGCGTTGTGGAGTATGGGTGTTGTTGTGGGTCTTTTGAGGACCTAGGACTTTAGCGTATTGACTCCTCTGGGTTAGGAATCAGAATTTGGGTTAGGACCTTCTGGGTTAGGACTCTTCTGGGTTAGGACTCTTCTGGGTTAGGACTCTTCTGGGTTAGGACTCTTCTAGGTTAGGACTCTCCTGGGTCTTATACTCCTCTAGGTCCTACTCTTCAAGGTTCTATACTCTTCTAAGTCCTACACTCTCCTAGGCCCTACTCTTCAAGGTCTTAACTCTTCAGGGTCCTGCACTCTTTAGGTCCTATCACTTCTGAGTCCTATACTCCTCTAGGTCCTACTCTTCAAGGTTCTATACTCTTCTAAGTCCTACACTCTCCTAGGTCTTACTCTTCAAGGTCCTAATTCTTCAAGGTCCTGCACTCTCTAGGTCCTATCACTTCTAAGTCCTATATTCGCCTAGGTCCTAACTCTTCTAAGTCCTATACTCTCCTGGGTCTGATACTCTTCTGGGCCCTATACTCCTCTAGGTCCTACTCTTCAAGGTTCTATACTCCTCTAAGTCTTACACTCTCCTAGGTCCTACTCTTCAAGGTTCTGCACTCACTTGGTCCTACCCCTTCTGAGTCCTATACTCACCTAGGTCCTAACTCTCCTGAGTCCCATACTCTCCTAGGTCCTATACTCTTCTGAGTCTTATACCTTTCTGAGTCCCATACCCTCCTGAGTCCCATACTCTCCTAGGTCCTATACTCTTCTGAGTCCTATACTCTCTGAGTCCCATACTCTCCTAGGTCCTATACTCTTCTGAGTCCTATACTCTCTGAGTCCCATACTCTCCTAGGTCCTATACTCTTCTGAGTCCTATACTCTCTGAGTCCCATACTCTCCTAGGTCCTATACTCTTCTGAGTCCTATCTCTCCTGAGTCCCATACTCTCCTAGGTCCTATACTCTTCTGAGTCCCATACCCTCTTGAGTCCCATACTCTCCTAGGTCCTATACTCTTCTGAGTTCCATACTCTCCTAGGTCCTATACTCTTCTGAGTCCTATACCCTTCTGAGTCCCATACCCTCCTGAGTCCCATACTCTCCTAGGTCCTATACTCTTCTGAGTCCTATACTCTCCTAGGTCCTATACTCTTCTGAGTCCTATATTTCTAAGTCTTCCACTCTTTAACATCCTATACTCTTCTGGGTCCTAAACTTTCATATTCAGTCCTGTCCCCAAATTGTGCTTATGTCAAATGTCCTCAAATTGCCCTCAAATATGTCCTATCGTCATTTGATAGATACTTGTCTCCACATCATTCTAACGTGTTCCAAATAAAACAGAAGTAATGAAAGGTGAAAATTGTACTTTTTATAGAATTTCATAGCACTCTCGGGCATCTAAAACCACAAGTTGCGCCGAAAGCGCAGGCTGTAGCGGCTAAGGGTGTCGCTGAAAGGCTTCTGGGCGTCGAACGAGCTCGGTTGTTCGTTATGGATGTGGATCCTGATTGTGGACCCGTTGGAAAAGACACTTTCTTGGTAATTATTACATAATACTCTGTTACGTTTCTATAAGATATGAGATATCGAGTTCGATCTAATTGTATGACGTACAGGTGATGTTAATCAGATCAGCCAAACTTTGAAATTCTTGTAATAGCTGTATCATAAAGTACACATGAAATACCGATTGCAAATGTGATTACAAATTACGAATAATCAACAAGTGGATCACGACTCTAAGAAATAGAATGATTACTGATACGATGATTAAATAATGATTAACAGGTGGATCTTAAATGAACAATAAGAAATAGAACGATTACAGATACGATTACAAGTAACAATTGATCTCAGATGAATTCTAACAAATAGAAGGGTCACAAATGAACTTTAACTCTAACAGATTTAGAGTTTACATTTAGAGGACTCTAAATCTCTGTTAGAGAACTCTAAACACTCTCTATAGCGCATATTAGCGCTGTAATATTGATCTTTTCATAAAGTTTTTCAATCTCCCCTCAGATAGAGAAGACTTCATCCAACCAGATCAAGATCGTCGGCACTTCTGGAGTGGCTGTATCCTGGGGTTTGCATTACTACCTGAAACACTATTGCAACGCCCACATATCATGGGAGGGCAATCAGCTGCATCTCCCAAGCACCTTACCTGACGTTCATGTGAAGGTGACGTCGAACGACAGGTAGCATATCCTTCATTTTGTTGTTACAGATCATCTACTCATTTTTCGTGAGTTCCTTATTGGTACTCATTCTTGATGAGTTCTTCAATTGTACTCATTTTTCATGAGTTCTTCACTTGTACTCATTTTTCATCAGTTCTTCTGTTGTACTCATTCTTTATGACAACTTTATTTGTATTCATTTTTTATGACTGCTTCGTATACTCATTTTTCATGAGTTCTTCATGTACTTATTCTTCATGAGTTCTTTACTGGAACTCATTTTCCATGAGTCCTTCAATTATACTCATTTTCCATGAGTTCT